TCAGAGGTTTGACATGAATTTAAAGTTTGAAAGGATGGAATAAAAAAGTTGATAAAGGACATTCAGAAATGAGTATTATGAGAGTCAAAGACTTCAACTATCAAAGCGATGTAGGCCCAGTGCTGAATAACCAAAGATAAAAAGGCAGCACTCACAATACTTCAGGCGTAAGTTGACAGATCCCACATTTTCTGAGTCATTCCTGTCATGTGACTAAACTTGACTCATGTTTGACATGATTGGTAAAGGTGACTTATTCCTGAGGTCTTGTGCGAGTGCTACCTTTTTGCCTTTGGTTATACTTTGCTTAAGAAATGTTTGCGCTCTGGCTAGAGTCCTAACCAGCATGCACACGCCGCCCTGTTATCTCGGTGTGTTTTCAGGGTTTGCAAGGACATTTTAAAGTCGCGTCAAAAAGTACATCATGATTGTCCTTTGACTTTGGTTCGGGTATTTCAAAAACAATGTCTTTACCTCGTCTTGTGCAGTGAAATGTTGTCTTTTTCTTTTTAAGTCTGCTTTGCACCGCTGGGCCAACGTCATCACTGGTGCAGATTGCAGATGAACTTTTTCTTGCGTACAGGCGCACAGACGGGCAAACTCGAGTCGGTAAACGGCTGAATTCTGTGGCACCACCGTTTCTCGTCTACAGACTTTTTGTCAGGAGTGAAACAAAAATAATTTGCCAGATTTTCTCCTCGACACGTGCTCTGTCCTCGTAGTAAGGGATGCACTGACTGTGAAATACTAGGCCGTAATCCAGCACTGATACTGACATTTTTTTTTTTTTTAGTCTTTATATTGTTTTTTTTGTTCCAGGTGAAAGAAAAAGAAAAAAAACTTTATTTAAAAAAAAAATGCATGTGTTTTAGCTCTTCATGGAACAGTTTTTGAACATTTAGCCAGCGCAAAAGTCAGTAACGCCATCTTATCAGCTGATACTTGGCTGATTCATCGGTGCATCCCTACCTCATGCTTTGAAAATATATGTATAAAAATTATCTTAACGTGGAACGGCTGCAGTTCGTTTGCTTTCTGTCGAGCGTCTGCACATTTGAGGAACTCAAGTTAAATGAAGCAGTCAAGGAAATGCCTTGTCACTGATTGGTGAATGTGCTACTGATTGGTTAGCAAGCGCCAGCCAATGAAATGCCTGAATTTGGATGGTTGCGGTGAATTGGGCGGAACTGCCATCATTACGTTTCCAGAGTGATGTAGATTTCAGTGTGCTTTAGGGGTGAATGTTTCTTTTCGTGATTTATCATTTGACGGCGCGCCAGTAGACCACATTGATACTGTACAAGTGCTAGTGTTGGTTTGTTTGTGTTTTGGAGACACTTGATGGGTGAAGTCACGTGGTGATTGGGTTTACGGATCTCTTATTTAAGATTTAAGATATAGCCATTTTAAGAGCCATGTGTCAATAAATAATACCATTTTAGCCTTTGTAAGCATCACTTAGTCACCACTGTAACAGACAAGCGATCGTGAGTCAAATGAACATTTCATTTTCTTTTTTAAACGTGTTCTATTTGGTTTATGAGCATTGATGACTTCGCACAGATCAGACTCCCCGTCGAGGGCAGAAATGTTCAACTTTGCCAAGAGTCATTGGGTGCTGTTGCCATGGTTACACAGTGCAGCTGACAACAACGGCAAAAAAATAAAAGCGGGGGGTTTTTCCTCATAGATATATACACACAGATGCCACACTGGTTGTTGCTCCTCACTGTAATGACTCCACGCAGCACCACGTTGCTCGGGGGGAGCACACATCTGCACACGATCACGGATTGTTGTACCTCGCTGAATTTTCCACAGATTTTCGAGCAGTGTTTATGATACATGTGCTGAAACGGTTAATAATGCTTAAAATAACGTTACAGTCCGGCAGCTGCTTCTTTGTGACACTCTGCTGTAAAAAGCAACAGGATTACTCCATCACTTTAACGTGTCTACTGTCCCGTCAAAGTCTGACTTGAAAAGAGAGCTGCAGATGAGCCAGTGTTGGTCTTTCTCTCACTCCTGCAGTCTGTCTTTATTCTGTGGGACTCTTTAAACAAAACAAGTCCCACCTAAAGCAGCTCTGTAGGTTTCTGTAGCTACAGTTCAGGTATAGGTCACATGGGTTTCTAGAGTCTTTCTAGAGCATGTTGGAGCTCTCGGACCGAATATCAGATCAAATATTTAATGATAAATAAAATACGAATCTCCTTTTCTTTAGCTGGTATATGACAGTGTTAGCTTGGGACTACTTTTTAGTATACCAAATTAAAGACATTCGTAACGGTAAAACAAGTTCTCGTCTGTGGAAAGTTTTAGCATTTCTTTCAGTGAAACATCAAAAAGAAGCACAAAAATTTGGCGTTATTTATAGGACTGGATGACAGGAAATGCTCAGAGCTCGTGAGCAAGACAGCTGTGGCATCTGTGTTCATATGTGTTTTCCCTCCTATGGAAAAAAGGAAAAAAAAAAAAAAAAAAAGGACCTTGCCTGTTTTTGATACACAAAACTGTTTTTTTTTTTTTTTAATAGTTACTGGTTAACTTGTGGTATCTACATGTCATTAACTGCAATAACATGAATTGTTTTACTGAGTGGCCCTCTTCGTGATGAGGGCTACGGGTGTGTGATGGGGTAAAGGGGTGAATGTTAATTACAGTGGGGGGAGGAAGATGCCTGTAAAATGTGTTTCTCCACTCTTCTCTCGGCACACTTGACTTCACCTGGTTATTCCTTCAGGCGATTTGATCTTCATCTCTTCACAGGTTTGACTGATGAGGCAACAGTTCAAACCTGACTACTGCTTTATATTCCTTTTACTACTCTCACACTTTCACACTCCAGTTTTGTGTGTAGATCTTAGAAAGCAGAGTGGACCTTTTTCTTTTTTTTAAATTGAAGCTGTAGGCATAAATAAGTGTGCTCAGATGGGATGGGTTTTCATTTCCATTTCAGTTAATTCTCTTGAACACAAGAAGTTTAACCTGCTTCTCTGACTTTAGCTGTTGGAGGGTGAGCGCCTCTCACCAACATCTCACTGAAAAATGAGGGCTATAACTGTCTGTCGTGACTGTTCATCACATTCGTCAGTCTCTCTGCTCCGTGTTCATCTTTGCATATCTTCTCTTTACCTTTGTGTGAGATATTGTGTAAAAAAGGATGTTTGGATTAATGAGAAAATGGTGGCTTTACATTTTTCAGCATTAAACTTGAATTATAAGAAACTGCAGACTCCTGTCACGCTTTTTTACGTTCTGTATCAAAATGTTTTCATTGCCTAGAACTAAAAATTGCTTTCCCATTCCTTGCAATCATCTGTTAGTGACATGGTTAATCTGTGAATTTACAAATACGGGCCTCATGCTGCATCTCCAGCTCCACTAATGATCAAAGGTTCTCTGCACTGAGTGACCTGCATTTCATCACTGACAGTTCATCATCTCAGATTCTGTAAAATGGAAAATTAACGTCATCACGTGGTGCTTGTTTCCTTTAATGTAAAAATAATGTTAGAAAAAACAGAAACGGATACATAAGATTTTAACAAGATGAAGGAATAGAAAGTGTAGCACACAAAAATGTCCTGGAGAAGGAAGACCAGATGTGCTGTAAGTGTGAGCATCACCTCAGCACATTGGATTGCAGACCAACTGCATCTAGTGGACATCTAGCATTACAATTGCTTTTAAAGAAAACAAAACTAAATGGAGACGCGTCAAGGTTTTCATGTGTGTTCGCATATTTGTCCTCAGCTTGCTCTTAGCCCATGACTACACATACATCATACCAACACCACTGTCACATTTGCTAATAATGGCACGATAGCAGGTGACGAGTTCAACCTCTGACTGTGTGATGTTGTCACAATAATCTGGACTTAAACCCAGTAAAAAGCAGAGAAGCAATGTAGCCTTTAGAAAACTGAAGCATACTGAGCACTTTGCTTCAGGCGTACAGGTGGAGGAAGTGGAGAGCTTTAAGTTCCTTGGTGTGCACATCCTGGTCAATCTCACCCACACCACACATATCTCCCATCGGGTGGGGAAAGGCTTTACATCCTTAGGAAGTTAAAGATCATCTCTCATCACCTGCTGACCAGCTTCTCTCAGTCAACAACAGCGGGCCTCGTCATCTAGTGCTGCATGGTGTGGTTCATCACAAACAGAAAAGACCTGCATGGGTGGTTCCAGACGTGTGACACTATCGCTCGGTGAGATTTACACAGGATGAGTGCCAAAAAAAAAAGAGCCACCTGTAAGTTTAATGGATTCATCATCTACATCACCTGAAGCGATGCCACAGTCCTCTGGAAATAGAGCTCAATCAGAAGCAGAACTCACAGATTACAAATTACAAAACAGCTTCTTCAAACAGGCAGTCAAATACATCCCCCCTCTTCTTCTCCTATTCTACCGCAATAAGCCCCTACCCCGAGAACTACAAGTGCATTAACCCCTGTCCCTCTCATTCTTCATTTTTTGCACTGTATATTATAATCATCATCCACTATTATTTTGCATATATTACCTCACTGTTTGTATCTTTATATTTTCATATTAATGCTCTTGTCTGTTTTGATGTTGCCGCGAAAACTAGTTGTTTTAAACATTAACAATAAGGATTTATTTATTAATTTCCAAATGTGCTGCTTTTATGTGCACATTACAGATTTATTGTTGTACAAGTGTTCATCCTGCAAATCTTTCAATTTCAATTCTGTTTAGCCCCTTAAAAAATAATTGTTATTATTTCTTATATTATAGAAAATATCAGATTGCCTCAAATGTTCAATGATAGAATAAAGGTTCATTAAAATAACTATGTTTGTCAAAAAAAATAAGCAGTTGTAAACATTAGAATGACACCATCACCTTTTCAGATCTGGCAGGAGCTCCTTTGTGTTACTTACCTGGTGATGTGACGATTGTTCTCTTCAAAAACAGATCTTTGGTGCTCTTATTTTGAGGTTTTCCCCCAAACTGACTGTAGAGGGCAGCATGTCCCATCCCAGGATACAGCCTGGCGGTCTTTCAGCAGAAGAAGAAGAAACTATTTTTGCCCGGGTTGCTAAAACATCACTTTTATGTTATAGACGTCGATCAAACCAGCGCTAAATGATTTGTTTTTTGCTAACCTAACGAGTGTGAGATACCTGAAGGAGACGGTGGTCGCTTCTTTGTAAGTAAGAACGTGTTGCTGAACATTAATATTCAGAGATCGTGTGTCAACATTAGCCATCGTGCTAGCATTAGCGGCTCCGGTGTGATGCGTTTGTGCTCCTGTCAGATCCGCAGGATGAAGGTGAAAATCAAACAGTGGAACGGGGTTGCCTCCTGGCTCTGGGTGGCCAACGATGACAACTGTGGGATCTGCAGGATGGCCTTTAACGGCTGCTGTCCTGACTGTGAGTATCAGAGCTAATAACATAGCACTAAGTAACGAGTGGCTGCATTAAAGATGCAAACATAACAAAACAAGATTGTTCTTTGGTGGGTTTGCTTCTAATACATATAACGCTTTATGTATTATCCGACCGACAATATGCCAAATTTATCCTGGCCCTCCTGTTTATACAAACTAAGTAGTGAGAACGGTGGCAGAGACGGGCAAAAAAATCACCACTCTACAAAAAAACGCTTCTACAAGCTGTGGAACAATTTTAGAAAAATGTTCTTCAAGATAAAATTGCAATGCCTCAGAATATCGCATCGTCTACAGCACATAATATCTGTGTGAAGGGGTTATGGGCAAAAATCAATATTGGATACCTGTGATCATTGGGCTGTACTGCATTTAAAAACAGACCCGATTCTGTCATGGAAATCACTGCAAGGGCTCAATAACATTTCCAGAAATCACTGTCAGTGAAGACAGTTTTACCACAAATATCCACAAATCCAGGTTTGTGTCATCCAAAGAGCAAACTGTATGTGAACATGATCAACGATGATGATGATCATCATCAACATCTCCTCCGGGCTCATTCAAAATGAACTGAGGGGAAGTAGAAAACCTGTTCATAGGTCAGATGAATTGAAATTGTCTTTTGGAAAACATGGTCACCACATCCTCTGGACTAAAGAGGAGAGAACCTTCCTAGTTGTTAACAGCACAGATGCTGTTGACACGGTAGCATGGAGGAAAAGGTGTCGCTTAGAGGCGACTGAAAGAAATTGATTTTGGATATCTGTGGGGTGAAATTAGCTTCTTGTGTTGTCTGGGCTCAGCCTTACGGACAGGATGAGCACTTTAGTCAGGAGACGCTCAAAGCAGAACCTCAGCTGCTCTAGATCGAAAGGAGACAGTTGAGGTTGTTCTGGTGGTGTTTCAGGCATGTCCAACTGGGAGGGGCCCCGAGTTACGATGAAGAGCTTGACTGTATCACTGATAAGTGGTGGTGGAAAATGGATTGATGGCCGCTCCAGTGACCCATCTTGGAGATCAACTCCAGCTGCAGTATCTTGTGGTATTGCCCGTAGTTCTTTAGGTTGATATTGAAGACCGCCACAACAGCAGCTAGGCCTGTGAGCCACTCACTGGAGAAAAGGCAACACGGGAAAGGTCACAGGTAGCTGAATTAACAGCAACTGAACTTTCAAAATAAGAGCAAATGCCTAAATTGATCAGGGATGGCACTGATCACACAAATGGATGAAATGAGTTCTTAAATATACTTAAGTGGTCTGTGTGGGGAAACACTTGTATCCTCTTTTAGTATTACAAGAGGATATCTGCTAATCAGCAACTGAATGCAAAATCCTGCCCAGTCTCTCTAATGTGTGTTTTTTGTTTGTTTGTTTGTTTTGTTTGTTTGTTTGTTGTTTGTTTGTTTGTTTGTTTTGCAGGCAAAGTGCCTGGGGATGACTGCCCGCTGGTCTGGGGTCAGTGCTCCCACTGTTTCCACATGCACTGCATCCTGAAGTGGCTGAACTCACAGCAGGTCCAGCAGCAGTGCCCCATGTGCCGGCAGGAGTGGAAGTTCAAGGAGTGAACCTGTGGAGGCGTCGCTGCCACAGAGACGAAAGGCTCGCTCGCAGACTTTTATGTAGACTGTAAATAAATCTGTGTTTACTTCTACTAATGCAGAACACACGCTGAATATGTTTTTACTGTAGTGGATTTGTGATTAATTAAATAAGAAAAAAATGCGTTGTATTGAGTCTGTCTTGGAGGTCTGGCTGATTATTTCCTTGGATCGTGACGTTTATGACTTTGATTTCAGGCAGCTCCACACTGATGTATTATTTCTTGTTTGTTTGTTTGTGTAGCTTTTCATATTTCAGAACCTGTCTGGATAAAAATGGACAAAAAATTTACGAGGTTATCAAAACAATGCTACTTAAATATCTTCTATTCAATTTATCCCTTAACTCTTGAATGTCTCCACAAACTAACATAAATTGTTTAAGTAGGTCTTAATAACTTAAATAACTTCAGTGCTCTTTAACAATTATTTTCTAATTCTGCACATCTAATGGAGCCATATAGACCATTCTTCCAGAACATATCCTCTTATTTACTGACACACTGGGGTTGAGACATGTTTCCTGTAGATGAGCTTAGATCTGGGGACAATGAAGGCCGTAGCAGATGTTCACATGATTTCATCCTCATCAAACTATTACAGTGACCTCTGCTGTGCTGCGGTGGGAGATGACTCCCATCCGGATCCATTGTTTTATCAAGAACAAAGGTCCAACATGATCACTGTGTAATGATTTGTACTGACTGTTCCTTCAGTGCTTTTATTTCACCCCTCATTTAAGAGCCATATATTTTTTCATCAATGATTAATAAAATGTTTGTCCTGAAAAATTGCAGTCATCATTCTAGATTTGCTCCATATTCTCACCTGGCTAAAGTAATTTAGTTTTATATTTTAGTTTTTGTCCTGTTTTTTTTTTTTTTAAGTTAGTTTCACGTAGTAACTAGAGAATTTTTCAAATACCACATTTTGTGGAGGACGTGAACATGTCATGTAGTCATTCATTTTTAGTTTCAGCTGGTTTTAGTTTCTATTTAATTGCAGTTAACTGTAATAACCTCAGTCCATGACCATCCTGCATGGCGTCTGAGGTGGTAAAAGGCAAAATCACTTTTAACTTCAGGGATATTAATCTGTTCAGTTAGGAAACGGAAGCTATTGCGAGTCCAACTGCAAACCTGCTGTCTCAGTATGTGGAGAAGGTACCGGAAGACAGCCGACAGGGAACCTCTGAACTGCCACATGAGGGAGCCATATTTCGGACATCCTGCTGCATGCGGTTGAGCAGAAACCTGATGTAGTTAACAGTTTAAACCACTAGGTGGCAGCATTTACGGATAGTCCCAGTGACCCCGCCCTCAAAGTCGCGGTCAGCAGTACGGAAGTAAACAGCCTGCTCCCTGCTGCTGTCAGTTGGTGTTTTCTTTTCTTAAAAACAGTAATTTCACAGCTGGTCGTGTCTATTAATGCAGGCTGACAGATGTCCGCTTCTCCCGCAGAAGATTGCTCAGCAGTTGGAAATGGTTCAGAGTGCTGTTCTGTCTCAGCTACTCACAGCACACCTTAAATACGACCCAGTTTTTATTCTGCAGTTAAGTCCATTAGACTCGTTTTGCTCCAAACGTTGCTGATTCTTTATCTTCAAAGTTTTCCAAAGTGTCCCATCCAGAAGAAGTCAGCTTCAGTGGATGGTGAAATACCAAAACAGCACCATATTAGGCTTTATAATCGTTTAACGCAAGGATACAGTTATAACGACCTCATCCATATTTTGGGATCCTAAAATGATAAAAATTCAGCTTCAAGAGTGATGATATCTTAAAATACCAGAGGTCTCTATTCTTTAAAAATAAATATTTTCAGTATTTTCATTACCATTATTTAATTTCATCATGATTGTATTTATTTCCTGTTTATATTCTTCTTTTCTCTCTGTGTCTCTGTATCTTTAAGAACTCAGTGTTTGTTCATCCTACATTAGAGCAGCAGTAATTGTTTGACAGTAAATGGTTTTCTCACCTGTCTTACTAAAGTTTGTAAAAATGTCGTTTGTCAGTAAAAAGCAGCGACTGTGCTGACAGATGCTGCTGTGCAGGGGATGCAATTTCTGTCAGGGCCAACTACTTTGGCACGACACAGGCAGCTCTTGGAGCTGAGCCACCTCCACACCTCATCAGCCTTTCATTGATTTACTTGTTTGTAAAGACAAGACCAATGATATCATCATGTTAGTCTGTATCATGTCCTGATGTCTCTGATTAATGTGAGCGTGTGGAGCTCCTGCTGTCCTGCAGAGAGACACAATTACAACATTTACAGATATTTACATTTCAACAGTACAATACAATCAGCTGACTGATTCTTCTTTTAGACATTATTAAAAATTCACGATGTGAATGTCACTGGTTTTGAAAGCTCTCGAGATAAGCCCTTGTTTTGAATAATTAAATTAGTTGCAGTTCTACAAACCACAGCAGGAGGCGAACCACCTGGGTTCATTAAGCCACTGTGAGAGTTTCAGATTTGTTGCTGTTAACAGCCCTTTTGTCTGCTATAGACTTTACATGCCGCCTCATATTTTTTCATGAAGTAATTGCCAGCGAGTGTGTTTATATTTGTTTGTGTTTATGTTTATATATTTGTTTCCCGATGCAGTGAGCAGGCACGTCTGAGGCAGCAGGTGCTGGAGGACGACAAAGAGGACTGCAGAGAGCCAGACTTTCAGTCTGGAGCGAGTTGGTGGGGTGGACCTTCCTTCATCAAAGGGGATGACGTCAATGCCTGTGCCCAGCTTGGTGGTACTCAGCTACCCAGATCTGCAGGTGAGCTACAGAGATAAAATAACCCTGTAATGCCAAATATATCATATTTCATAAAACATTAGTGTTATTTTTATAACCCCTAACCCCCTTTATATGTTTTTGTTTGTTTTAAGATAAATAAAAGATTACAGATTAAACTCATATATGTAAATTAAAATTTAATTTCCATTTTCAACTTGTGAGAAAGTCAATAAACACTTGAGTTAAAACATCGAAGCTTTCCTGACCTCTAGTGGTGACAGGTGGGAACAGCAGCAGTGCTTCGTGGAGAAGGCTGAGGATCAGAAATTGAATTCCACAGGCTGCATTTTTTCACCAGTGACACCTTAATGAAAAGGAAACACATGACGATACAAATGCTATCCCTTAAAAAATGCTTGGCCTTTGAAGGCTTTGTAATACGTGCAGCTGGAATATTGCGCAAGGCCAGCTGTTAACCTTTAAAGTAGTCGCATTTACTTGTTTGGGCACTGAATACAAAGTCCTTATGGCGTTTTCTCCTCTTGCTTCCTCGCCTTGAAGTCACAGCTTTTTTATGACTCCTGAAAGCTGGCGGCATGAGGAAGAAATTATTCTTGCTCTCGCCGGGGCTGTCGGTATGTTCTAGGGAGCCGCTGAAGTGATTTTAAATGTTTTACCCTCACCTTTTGATAACTTCTCCTGTGAGCTTCTGCTGTGGGCTATGAACAGTCATATGCCAACAACGTTATTTAGGCATATTAGAATGCCAAACCCCGAGGAGCGCATATTTGTTTTCCTCAGAGCTGCTGCTTCTTCTGTTGGCTTCTTTTTTCCAAGACAAAAATTTTTTTTTCTTGGCCTTCAGAAAACATTTGATAAATATATACGTTTATGTCAAGTAATTACAATGTTAAATATAATTAAACTTCATGCATAGATATAGCTTCTGATCCAGTTGTATAGAAGAAGACAATAACCTTTCGTTTCATTATAACCTGATAAAATCTTTCCTGATGAGTTCATGCACTCAGCCGCTCCTTTTAATTTTTCTTTAATGCAGCGTGATCTCTGATTTTGTAAATTATGATCTGATTTAAAGTAAATAGAATTGTAAACACACAGAAAAGCTGTATGTAGCCTGTGTCCCTATTTTTAAAATATACACATAAATTGAAAACAGTAGTCTGGCAGTGAAAGTGTTAATATGCAACAGAGCTCCTCAAAGTGACCTTCCCAGTCCGGCTTTTCATTTCATTACTTTCCAGCAGCCTTTCACAGCACTGCTCCTCGCAGTTATTTATCTGTGCATTAACACGGCCTGCTGGCAATTCCAATTATAATTAATGACATATGTCACCATACATTGTTGATACATGGACCCAGTGAGGCTAATGAAATGTGTTCAGAAATGTTGTTCAATAATGTGATATGTTCCCTGCTGTTTTCAATTTACTTCAACATTGCCACCTGAGGCTATTTGGGGCTCAAAAGATGCTAGTTCCACGTTCCACAGTGTGCTCACTGCTGCTGCAAGTCACACAGAAAAAAAAGCAAAAGTTGTATAATTTTATGTTTCTCACTGAATAAATATGCCTGTGAGGAGATGAAGGTCACGGCAGTCGACAATGTGACAATGACATATCCTGAAAGGTGTTCGGCATTTCTAAAGCCAGATGACAAGGCAGGTATTCAGAAACGTTTCTGCTGTGAGCCTCTGCGAGCTCGACTCGGCGGACAGCTTTTGTGTGTTTTATTTGTAGCTCATGCCCGATAACAGCCTCGATAACACGTGATGCTGTTAGATGTTACATCATTCGAGATGTGAGCACATCTCTTCGCTGTGAGCAGAACAGGATTTTATATGCTGGTCAGAAAGTTGCGACAGCTTGTGCACCTGTAATCTGCATAAGTCTCAGAGGTCTCCTGACCCTGCTGGTACCTCACAGGATACTCGGAAGGAGATCATGGCAGACATGTTACCTGCGGCGATGCTGCTTTAAAATAGACAGGACAGCGGAGGGAGGTACATACATGGATCCCTGCCAACATGGGAAAGGCTGTTTACAGTATATATTGTGCTGATTTTACAACCCGCTGTGGTTCTAATCAAAATGTAGTCTGCATGGCAATACTAAGACTGTTAATTAGGCAATATTGATAGTGTTTTACATAAAACAAAGGGCTCTTTTCTGCTCCAGATTTGTATTCATGGACACATAAGTATCTTTGTATTATTCAGTTCAAAAATAACCCTCATTTATCTTGTGCCGGTGCAGCTCTTGAGTTCAGTCTCCTATTAAAACTAGTTTAGATCCTCTTCCTGTAAGCTAACTTTCATGGAGCATGGAGAAACAATGTTGTTGCTTTGCTTGGCTCGTATGTGTTGAGCCTTATAGTTGTGTATTCTCTGAACCTCTCCATGTTCATGATTGGTGATCCCCGTTTATTTTGAACGGGATTTAGAAAATATGGGCTGACTCATTACAAGTTCATGTGGCCTCTTGTGGTTGTCAGACAATGAGTAGATATCCTGCTGTTGAACTCGCTCTGCACTACAGGCCTCCCGAGGATGAGATTAAAAATTAGATGTACACCAAAATTTTAGGAGTTTATACAGTTAAACTGTAACTGTGTCCACTTAATTGACCAGGTCACTTAAATGAAATAAATTGTCAGATGTTCAGAATATACTCACAGCCTTTAATCAACAGGGAGCAGATGTTTCATTTTGTGCCAGATGGGCGATGTTGGTGATTATCTGTACAGCTTCTCTGTGCCTTTGGACTCACCTTACATATACACTAGGTGGACGCATTTGTCCAAAGCACCCTGACAGTGTCCCTGACTGACTCATTTATGTACAGTCATGCAATAATGTAGGTTTCACAGGACTCTGGTGCAGTGCTGTGAAAAGCTGAGTACAGACTTACTGCTTCCTTAGAACATAAAAGGCTGAGAAGCGCCAATGCTGCTAATCAAATGCAGCACCTCTGTTAAAGCAGAAGTTTGGGCGGTTTGCTGGTCTGTAGGATTCAGGTGTGTGTTAACACAATGCCATAAACATCCCAGGTGTGGATGTCACAGCAAATTCACCCAAGGTCAGACCATGCAATCGTCAGTGAAACTGCAAAAGCCCAAGAGCTCCATCTCAGATTCTCAAGGCCTCAATTAGCATGCAAACGTTATGTTAAAAAAATGAACAAAGATTTTTTTTTCAAATGGTTGCCAGAGAAATCGTCTGCTCTCCAAAAGTCCTCAAAGTTGCATCTGAACAAACCACAAGAGTTGCAGAACCAAAGTAGAGATGTTTGATTATAATGCACAGCACCACATCTGGAAAAAAACAACATATCAGCACAAACACCCCATAACAACTGTAAGCACGGGGATGGAGGGGCGATGATTGTGCTTGGGCTTGTTGTGCAGCCACAGGACCTGGGCACTCCGCAGTCACTGAGTCTACCATGAACTTCTCTGTATACTTGTGGTCATCTGACTGACTGAAATATGGATATCCTGCAGAATTATCCAACGTGGCTTAAAGGTTAATAACAGTAACACACTCGTTATGTCAGCAGAAGTGGCACCTGGCAGATACTGGCCTGTGTCAGCCCACCTGTCAATCAAAGCAGCCATGCCCCTAACAAAATTTTAAAAAAAGATGGGTTATTAAAAAAACAAAAAAAGGTTTTATGATGAATGAAGGTGATGAAGATGTTAGTGTGGGTGTCTGTGGAGACTTTGGAGATTGCTGCTTGCAATGGAGAAATGAAATATTGTGATAATCCGACGGTGTAGTAAAATTCAGTCATAAGAAATGAAGCAGTCTCTGCTCCCTCCTGCCAGGTGCTGTATGAAGACAGTCAGATGGTGACCCTGACGGCCCCCTACATAGCCGGCTTTCTGGCATTCAGAGAAACTCCTTTCCTCCTGGAGGCTCTGCAGAGGCTGAAGAAGAACCAGCCACACTCCTTCCTCAGGTCTGGACGTGCTAGAACTTGAATAATGACCTCTTAGTGCAGGGGTGGGCAACTCCAGGCCTCGAGGGCCGGTGTCCTGCAGGTTTTAGATGTGTCCTTGAGCCAACACAGATGATTCAATGGCTGAATGACCTCCTCAGCAAGTTCTCCAGAGGCCTGGTAACGAACTAATCATGTGATTAAGGTGTGTTGACCCAGGGGGATATCTAAAACCTGCTGGACACCGGCCCTCGAGGCCTGGAGTTGCCCACCCCTGTTTTAGTGACTACTGAAATGGGTTCTGTTCGTTTCTGTCAGATTAACTTCTCAAAGCTACACAGACAAAGGAAAATATATATATCTTTTTGCATTTTTATTTGACCAGGAAGTAAAACAACTCTTTTTCCATTATTTTGTTGATGCTGATGGTTCATATTCACAATAGAGTGAAAAGAAAACATTTTAGTTTGTGCTTGTTAACCTTAGTTTGCAGTTTTGGCATAATTCCTACAGATAAAGTTAGAAACCTGAGGATTTTGGGCAAACTAAGTAATTAAAATTTCTTCAGTAAGATCTGAGTGTTATTATTGTGATAACTATTATTATTATATTTATGGTAGTAGTACTAGAAGAAGTGATATAATTCCCATCTCCAGGGCACAGTGAGCTGGAAATGTTTTAATAACCGATAAATCCTCCAAAGTGGAAAAAAGTTACTTATGAATCCAACAAGGCCGACAACCTGCTAACGTTACTGGATTTGGACAAGTGCTTTAAAACCTCGCATCACGTTCATGCACATTAAGTGAAGCTCCTCTGTTTGTCCTCTCGGTTTTTTGTTTTTTCTAAAGCGACGCCTCTTGTTCATCTTCACCCACTCGCTTCTGTTTGTCGCAGCCCACACGCCTCCCACTCTGTCCTCTGTCGTCCTCGTGCACGCAGGTGTGGCAGAAACACACACATTCACACTTAGAAAGTCATGCACGCAACACACACACACACCACACACACACACACACACACAACACACACACACACACACCAAGCTCAGATTTACTTCAGTGACATTTAGCTCTGGACGATGCAGTCACTGCTCCTTTATCTGCAACCTTTCAAGTGAGTGTTCCTGGTGACTTATGATTCAAGCAGAAATATGTCTGCGGAGTCACCTTTGGCTTTAAAAATCATCGGTGTGTTGGAGCTGGAAGCGTTCCAATATCAGTTTGAGGAGCTCTTACTAACTTCGGCTTTTGAAGATCTTCTGCCATCCCAGGTATAGACAATAGATAACAACAAAAATCTTTCACTCTGGACATTTTAGTTGATCATATCATTCATAGCACAGGTAGAAGCAAAAGATTAATAATACCTCTGTTGATGAAGTAGCTCTGTTTATTATTTCACCTGTGCTTTTAATCCTCAGACACGTGGAAAAGTCTGCTGTGGAAAAAGCGAGTAATATCGAGCTTCCTGCAGTCGAACTCATTTCAGGTGTGTTCTCTCTGCAGGTGGTGTTTGTGGATGGAATGGTCTCTTTCATTACAGAGGTGAGGCGACTGACCGAACAAAGATTTTAGATTTTCTGTTTTACTTTAAAGATAACATAATGTAATAAACTTTTAATAACACTGATAAAAAATATTAACAGTTCACTGTAAAAATCGAACAAACACAAAATTAAAACACACATTAATGAATAATGTGTTTGTTAGTTTCTCTGTACCTGTACAATCATCGCCCAGTTTTCCCTCAGGTCATCTTCTTGTCCATCTGGACCTATGCGATTAACGCTGGATTCAGAGCGCCACCAAAGGGGGCCAGGAGGGGCACTGGACACCCTTAAATTTGCTGGCCGCCCCCCTGTCGCCTCTTGACCTCTGTTGGTAATAATTTTAAAAAACGTGAACACAAGAGTGAGGAAATCTTTAAGGGATGGATGGATTTTAAAATCTTATTTGGTTTTCATATGTACATATTTTGAGTGATATCAATCTAATAGCAGGAAATAAACTAGGTATATAATTCAGTTTTTTTCTCTCTTTTTTTGCCATATTATTCAAGTAAACCTATATTTGACAACAGCAATAAATTGAAACCCTGTTTTGGTGTGCCACCCCCACATGGCCACCCCTATGAAAAATTTTTGGAGCGTCCCTGGTTGGTTATATCAACACCTTCAGCTTGAACTTAATTTTGTGACATAAGAGACAGCTGTAGGGATTCAGATCTGTCGAGGGTGGAGGGAAGTGACCAGCGGTTGTATGTCTGTGTGGCCAAAGAAGTGACACACATAACCTATGTCCGATGATTGTTTTCCATGAGCCGGCTCGGGATGTTAGAGTACACTCATCTCTGTGAAAGGAAAATGGAAAAAATGACGTGCATGCCGATGCTGCTGTTCGTCTCTGGGTCGTACGTAGCATGACACTCGTCAGCAGCGCATCTTCAAAAAAAGAGACAGCTAAAATTTCAGTCTGATTTTCACTGATCATTAATTCACAGATTTGCATTCAGCTCCACTCGAGCTTGTTAAAAATACTGAATTCAAGGTGAGTCTAGCGAGGTTTGAGGACAAGCTGTATAAACTTTGGCTTTCACTAAAGGGACTGTTGGGTGTAACACCTGATAAAATCAACCCTGAGTGAATCACCGTGAAGCCCTCTGTTGTAACGTTTCTTTGCATCACACAGTTCGCTGAAGCACGTTTACTCCCCGCTGTTTAATTTTGGATTGACTTGATTGTCGCTGTTTGGATCGTTGCAGAGTTTGGCTTGGCGTGTCACCTGGGAGTGCTGTCAGGGCTGCCCTGTGTGGCGTGGCCAAAAACTTGCTGCAGGTGCAAGGAGTCAACAGAGTGAGGAGCATCAGTCACAAGTGAGAAAACATAATCTCTTTTTTAAATTTAAGATCTTTTTGTTTTTAAACGTAGATTCTGTAGGTTTGATGAGTCAATGTGTGCACTTTGTTATGCTCAGGTCTCCAGTCATACAGCATTGTTGTATCCATTGTGGTTTTCAGTGTTATAAAAAGGCCATTTCAAAATGACGAGTCTAAGACTTGAACGTCTGTTCTCCCACCGAGCTGCAGAGCCTCGTCACTCTGCGGTTTGGCCTTCAGAGCTCTTTGATGTAAAAGAGATGAAGAAACCTGCTTCATATTTAATGTTTCTTTTAGTTGTGTACACATGTTTCTCTTGTAAAAGAGCTCCCAGTGTTGACAGGAGTCACTGGATGAATTATTTAAGTTTTCAAAGTGTAATCGCTTTCTCTGCTCGCTGCATCTAAAGAGAAAAGCAAAGAAATGTCAGAGAGGGACGAAGCAAAGGACAGAGTTGTTTTCAGTTGACTTTGTGTGCATCTAAACTCACAACTTCTAATTCTACGTGTGTGTGTGTGAGAGTGCGCTTTGTTTGCGTGTATTACTGTTCTCACTGTGACTTTTATTGCAAGCCAAGGCCTTGCTGTGTCGCTAACGCTAATGTGACTTTTTGAATACAATCAAGCTGGGACAAATGTGCACTGGTCAAAGTATACCTGTGGGACAGCAAAACCTGGTTTCATTAATATGCAAATGCTCCTTGTTCCAGTCTGCAGCTCAGTGACCTGCTGAGGAAAAAAACAAAACACTTTAAAGTTAAATCTACCCGATGAAACGAGCAGGTGCGTCAGTTATCATTTCACTTCAGGCCAAACTGAACGGAAGAGGGACAGACCTGTGAAGCCACAGGAAAATATTAAAAAAACTGTTCCCTCTTTTAATGTAATAAGGATGAAAAGCAACATCAAGTCAAACCTAATGCAACTAATGAGTAGGAATGAACCAAAAACTACATGTGGCATAGACTAAGGAACTGCAACAAAACCAGCGCAAACTGAGTAAAACAACTTATACAGTCAGAGGTTTTTACAGGAATCTGTGTAAGTACACCTTCACTCCATCCATAGAAATTATAGGAAGTTATTGGTACTGAATCATGGAGTTTATTTCGTTTTTCAGAGAACTGCACAGTCCTGTGAAAACTGTGAAAGCTATTTCCTTTTTGAGGCGGGAGGAGCAGAGGCGGTCCGACCAAGCAAAAACTGATACATCAAAAAGATCAATAAAAATGCTTTGTCTGAATCTTACATGAACTACACACATTCACATGCTCATGCAGCTCCAGGAGATTATTTAAGACTTCATCTTCCTCGGAAACTTCCAGATTCCTCACAGAAAAAGCTCGAACCCTGTGGCCTTCTTGTCTGAGTTGACAGTGAATTAGCTGAGCTTAAGTGTGTCACTTCTGAAAAGCCATTATGCAAATTCTAAATAGAATCTAAAGGTCTGCAGTTATGAGCATTTTAATGCTGAGTGGTCCTCCAAAGTTTTGGAGAGGACGGACAGACATCTGATCCACTTCTCAGTTAGCATCAGATACATAGTGTGATTACAACCCGCAATCTTCATGTAGTCGTGTAAGATGCTAATTCAATTCTCTGCAATGTATCCATCTCATGAATAGTGTTAGTGGCTTTGGCGTCAGAAAAATTACGCCCGTCTTTTCCCCTGGGGGAATCTGATCTTTGTTTACACCTATCATGGTCACCCCGACGATCCAGTCACACTTATCTACTGAACAATATGTGTCCAAATACATGTGGCTCATTTACTTTCAGGATCAGGTAGCACAGGCATTACACGGCCATGCTGCATGTTTGGCTCAAGCTATTAGCTTTGGATCAGCGTGAAATTTTAGAAGTCCCTTCCTGCCCATATTGATGTAATTGTCACTCTCTGGGGCTCTTTCTAATTTGTCTACAGGCACGCACACGATTGCGGCGCTTCAAGGGAACACCAGCTTTGGCGCTTGAGCGCTTGGTGGGAAATTAGCTGTGAAGTAATCTGTGAAACACAAGCTATATCAGCTTCCTACCAAATTTCAGAAAATTAGCTCTTTTGAAACAAGATTAGCCATTACTGGAGCTACGAGCACACCGCCACGTACCACTGACGAGCGATACGCTGCCATACTCGATTAGATCAGATGTCAGAGTTTCTTTCAACATTTCCAGCAAACAGAGTTTCTGAAAGCCAATATGCAGTCTGAGAAGTGTCTCTCAAGGTTACAGAAGTTTCTCTTAGTTGCGGCAATTAAATGTGCAAACCTTGAAAGTAAAGGTGTGTATGTGCGTCTTTATCAGATGGAGCCTCCTTTGAAAGGTGAAAATGAAACACTGTATAGCACAGGGATTGTGTTAATGTACGAATGCACATAATATGTTGCAGGATGAGCCTGTGCTCAGAGAAACTATAATGTACATAAATTTTAAAGATGCACTGTAAAACAAATATATTTTTGCATGGAGGTTTGAGTTTCATTATAGACATCTATTCAATTCAATTCAATTTTATTTATATAGCACCAAATCACAACAACAGTTGCCTCAAGGCGCTTTACATTGTAAGGTAGACCCTACAACAATACATACAGAGAAAAACCCAACAGTCATATGACCCCCTATGAGCAAGCACTTTGGTGACAGTGGGAAGGAAAAACTCCCTTTTAACAGGAAGAAACCTCCAGCAGAACCAGGCTCAGGGAGGGGCGGGGCCATCTGCTGTGATTGGTTGGTGTGAGAGAAGGAAGACAGGATAAAGACATGCTGTGGAAGAGAGACAGAGGTTAATAACAAGTGATTCTATGCAGAGAGGTCTGTTAACACATAGTGAGTGACTGAAGAAGAAATACCCAATGCATCATCTGAGATGAGAATATTAAAGTCACTCCAATTTTATCTGTTTATTTTGGGCTTGATAGCAATTAGTGGTCTTTGTGTCACCCAAAGTTTGTCAGGTACAAAATGTAAAAGGTCACACCTGTATTACACCTGTATGTAGGTCAAAACATTTTCACCATTTTTTTACTTAAATGTAACTTGTTCAGGGATATTTTTTCTGAGTTTGGTTGCCTTTAATAGAGATTCATAAAATTATATGAATTCTGCTTTAATAACTTATTTAAAAGTTTCATCAATCTTCTGATTTATCACTCGGGCGAAAAAAAAAACAAAACTATTTTGTAAGAGTGATTTAAATCAGTTTAAAAATTCAAAGAAAAGAGCCTGTAAACGAATGTCAGCCTCCAAGACTGAAAACAGAAACAGGGAAGTGCCAAAAACTGCAGTTCATCAAATGACCGCTTGAGGCTGAATACAAAAGTTAGACTTCAGTCTTAAAATCATATGCTAAAGTTAGGAATGGCCAACATGACATCAGCGATTAGTTAGTAAAGTCCCAGCCAATGTGAAAACTTGTGGATGAGACCAAATATTGATGGCTGTTAATCACAAGGTATACCTTCCTAAAGCTCAGCTTGCTTTATCATCCTTTTGAGTCCAACGACGACCATAATTTACATCAAAGACATCTTAAACTCATCAGTAAAGTGTTTATTGATGTGAGCAGGAGGGGAATTTCACAGTTTTATACAGCCAGACTTTAAACCGGAGGAGTCACCCTCTGCTGCCGTGAAAACAGTGGCTTCCACCTGGAACCACCTGTCCTCAGACATCCTGGTGAACTTCTATCGCTGCACCATCGAGAGCATCCTGACCAACTGTATAACAGTCTGGTACGGGAACTGCTCTGCCTCGGACCGGAAGGCGTTGCAGAGGGTCGTGAAAACTGCCCAGCGCATCGCCGGAGCACCACTTCCTGCCATAAAAGACATCTACAGGAAGCGGTGTCTGAAAAGGGCTGGGAAAATCATCAGAGACCCCAGTCACCCATCACATGGACTCTTCACCCTCCTGCCCTCTGGGAGGCGCCACAGGAGCCTCCGGACTAAGACCACCAGGTACCGGAACAGCTTCTTCCCCACAGCTGTCAGACTCCTGAACTCTGCCTCCTGACATCTGACCCACGTTAAACTCATGGACTGAACATACACACACCCACAATGGACAACTGTACCCTCAAACACAATAATAACATGGACTGAACCACCACTCACAACCACTAGCACTTTATATAGCCTCTGTAGAAACTATCTACACCCTCACTTATCTTAACTGCACTACTGTATAGCTCTGTGTAAATAATCATTCTGTACATTCGATAATCTTTAATCCTACAACTGTTTATAACCTGCATAGTTCCCATTTCTGTATAGCTGTATATCCCAGATTCTGTAAAGTTATTTATTTCATATTCTGTATAGTTTTTCATATTTATATTCATATCCTGTACATAGCTTGTACTCACTACAGCCTGTACATACTTATAGTTATAGAATATTCACAACATACTTCATACCGTGTACATTATAACATACCATAATAGACCCATTTCTGTAATATACTCACATATCTATATTATTGCTAATATATATTGTAATATATCTATATCACTAAAGCACTTCTGGATGGATGCAAACTGCATTTCGTTGCCCTGTACCTGTGCATGTGCAATGACAATAAAGTTGAATTCTATTCTATTCTATTCTATTCTATTCTATTCTATTCACTCAGACCAGAAAGCTACACCTGCCTACAGTACGTGGTTAACATGCCAACTTTATATTTGAAGCTTTATTGCACATAGAGTTGTGTTTTTTCTGTAACTCACCTATTTAAATTGTATTTTAGTTATAAAAATAGCATTTTGCTTCACCTCATCTAATTTCAATCCCAGTCGTGTTTGTGCACTTATCTGCTTAATATGGCTTGATTTGTACTAACACACCGTCTAACCTCCAGTTGTGGAGAGTGAAATTCCAGTGTTATGAGCAGTGCTGCACTTATAGATTCACTTTGCTAATAAAGCGAACGAGTAAGCATTGGCTGATTTTTAGACCTCCAGCCTCTTGTCAAAAGTGTGTCACCGAAGAAAACAACGGGCAGAATGCCAGATGCGAGGCTTTAAGACATTAGTCCACATACAATGTGTGACTATGATTAAGTTCATCTTTTATATACAGTAATAGTCAGTAAAGCAAAGTAACAAAGGCCTTGAAAACAGACAGCTGTTTGTTCATCTTTAGCAGTGAATAAGAACAACGGATAACTTGTTAAGATGGAGAATCATTAGGTTGTATTGACTGCCTTCTGTCATCATTAAAGCACATGCGTCCCTTGAAGTGTCCGTGAACATGAAAGCCCTTCTCTCTCTGCTCGCTGTTTTTTTATTTGAAGCTGAACATGATGTCCCTGTGCTGGAAGTGATGCAGTGGGCCTTTGTGTGAGCCGAGCTTTAGACAAAAGAGACAGGATGAGAGAGGGTAGAAAATGTTTCTTTCCCTCCTTTTTGTCCTCAGTACACTTTTGGAAAATTTTATCTCTGTTGAAGTTTTGTGTTGCTCAGAGTCCTTCAGGTCTTCGTCGCCTCTCCTCTCTTTCTTCCTCTCTCCCTTAACCTCCAGTTTATCGGTCCTCCTCTCATACTCTATCCCCTTTCTCGCTTTCATCTCCTTCTCCCTGTTTGTCTCTCTTTGTCTCTTCTCTCACTGATAGCCTGGCTGTAACTCAAACTAGTGTGTTATTGATGACTTACCCCGTGTTTCTGACTTCTGGTGCCCTGGCTTCAGTCCTATTCTTGAATCAAACCCAGAAACCCTTTCTCACACACACACACACACACACACACACACACACACACACACACACACACACACACACACACACACACACACACACACACTATTGGCCTCAGCCGGGATTGGATGCCCCGTGCGGCCCTCCTGTCTCCCTGCTGGCTGCTTGCTGTAATCAGTCATAGTAGAGCAGACACTCCATCCATCATGGAGGCTAAACTCCCTTCATCGCTCTGGCCCATAACCCAGAGCACACCTGTCAACAGCAGCCCGCATCACTGCATCTGACTTTGCACCGTCTCTTTGACTGTGAGAACAAAACTTTAGCTCTAACAGAAATCAAGAGAGAGGTCATTTAAAATCTTTCTTTGAGTCCAGCATCCTTCAATCAAAAATGGAGGCATCTGGTCTGGGCTCTCATGAGACGTCAAAGATGAGCCAGTTAGTACATCAATAATTTTCTAGTCTTTTATTAGAGTTAGTTCTTTTTCTTTAGGTTTAAAACTAGCTTAGTTGGAAAAAATATATACATTTAAAGGTTTTTCAGACTCAAGGACTGTTTCTATGTCTGGCTGTTTCATTATATCTCAGTGACACTTCAAGTCTAACGCCTGAATGATCACATCAAATGTTTGCTTTTGCTGTCTAATGTGTCTGAAATATTAAGTCCAAACTTTATAACATAGATTAGGTTAGGACAAATGTTCTCATCACAAGTATTTTAGCCACTGTTGAATCGTGATTATATAACACCATTACTCAGAGAATTTGGAAAATAATATTTGAGTCACCAAACTTAAAAAACAAAAGACAAAAACTTGTCTTTTTAACAGAACGTTTGCTTGAAAAGAATTGTTTGGTAAAGTAAACATGGCACAGGGTGGCAGTGATATGAAGATCAATGCAGGCAATGGAAACAGCTGGGTTAGGAGAGACAGGTGAAGGCAATCAGGAAAGGATGGGAAGGAAGTGAAACTATAAACAAGGCACAGGACACAAATAACTACCAAAATAAAACAGTAAGGAAGTAACTCAGTAACTGAACAGGGGAGCAAAGAGACATGAATCAGCTTAAAAGAGGGAAACACATAGAAGAAAAAACATAACCTCTATAAATGCAAACAGTAACTTAAACTAAAATATAACCGGAATAAAGAAAACCAAAACTTAGACAGCAAACAAACTGAGAACAAAGAAACTATATTCCATCAAAGTGGCAGGAGGGCGACAGAAGGAAATGAAAGTTGGAGCGGTGACAGAAAAGAATGAGCAGATTGTGGCACAATAACCATTTTATCTTGATTATCTTATTTCAATAATTGATGGCAGACAACATTGCAGTTGAAATCTAAATTCGATCTGTTGCACGGTCCTGCTTCAGGTTGTATTTAACAGCTTGCACAGATGGCATATCCAAGTGATTCTGACAGAAGACCGTCTCCTAGCAATTGGTGGTGAGTGACATATTGGTAACTAGCTGAGTCAAAATCTCTCTCTTTGAATCTCATGCATAATAATTATATTTTTGCACGATCACATGCTTTCGTTTCACAAAACTCAAACACAACTTGAAATATGGTCTTAGGCCTCTAGTTTACTCAAACTCAGTCTGCAGACTACTGTAGATATGTGGCGGTTAATTGAAAATAAGGAATATTAAAAAATGTCATGAATTTGAATTTGTTGAGACGAAACACAGTTTTAGAAAAAAGATTTTGACATTTTTCCAAAAAGAGAAAAAGTCCAAATAAAGTCTTTGCCTTCATTTTTAAATCAATTCATTGATAATTTTATTCATTTACTTGTGAAAAATGAGATAACAAAGATAATAAAAACTTTTTTTTTCCAAAATACAGTTTATTTAATTGTTCTACTTGGGGCAGGGATAGCTCAGTAGGTAGCGTGGTGGCCCCATGATCGGAAGGTCGGGGGTTCGAATCCACTGAACGGCTACACTGAGGTATACCTGAGCAAGGTACCGTCCCTACACACTGCTTCCCGGGCGCCCAATGGCTGCCCACTGCTTCACTAAGTAAATGGGTTAAATGCAGAGAGGAATTTCCCACGGGGATCAATAAAGTAAATAGTACATTGTTATTACATTATCATTAATCTGTATTAGGAGTTTTATTATTGTACCCTTTTATGCCAGATTAAAATTTAAAACAATATTTTTTGTGCAGTGCTTTTTTCTGGGAACAAGACTGTCTGGATTTTCTTTTTCAAAGTCATAACCCACCGTCCTTTCAGTGGAATAAAGATGTGGTCCTGTTTTAGCATTTTGAAGCTCTAGTTGGACAGCAAAGTGGGGCCACGCAGAGGTTAGAGACAAAGTGACGCGAGTGTGAAGGCTCTGCAGGAGGTTAATACTTTGTTTCAGCTTGCTGCTATTTGTTTTGGCATCTGTACATCTGTTTTGACTTTGATTTTTGTTTCTTTGCCTCCACAGATAGCTGCTCTGCAAAGAGGAGGAGACAGCTTCCCACTCATAGGCGCCTCAGGCAAAGTGCTCGGAAAGGTGCGGCAAAGGACAGATGCACAGAAAATAGAAACAAATACCTCTGACAAAGGTGTTGTGTTATTGCTGCTGACTTCAAAGAAAACCCTCGCTGCTGAAAGTCAAACGCAACAAATTCTTTATGATGATCACAACTGGAGAGCGAGATGAATGCTGAAAAGTTACAGCAGACTTCTGTCTTTGAATTCAGGCACTGCGAAGCTCTGACAAGAGCTCGAAGCCAGTGTACGTGTCTGTGGGCCACAAGATCAGCCTGGACACAGCTGTCCGCCTCACACACGCATGCTGCCGATACCGGGTCCCTGAGCCAATCAGACAGGTGGGCCTATGTGCACACACACACACACACACACGCACTGTAAAAGTGCATTGAGCCATCATGAGTGTTCAGCAGAGCAGCTGCAGGAACGCTAGAAGCCTTTTTTGTGAACAGTAGAAACAAAAGTTGAACTTCTCATCTTAGAAGCAGAACACTGTTTCAGGGAGCGAGCAGTGCTCACCACTTGTGTAACAGTGTCCTGCTGTGAAGCGAGGAGGTGTGAGCATCACGCTATGCAGTGCTTTATTGGCAGCAGGGCCTGGGAGACATGTAAAAATGGAGAGAAGAAGAATATATGCAGCCAAATTAGGGATGTTCCAATTTTGGCTGTATTTTTATATGAATTCCAGCCCCGGCGCAGAAAACTGTGCAGACAGTTTCAAACAATAAGATGATGCCGGCTGTCAGACACAAGTGCAACAAAGCTATAGTGTGACACTGAAGATATTTTTAACTGCAAGGCAGACAGGATCTTCGCAAAGTTGAAAAGTATATGGTTCATATTTTGCTATTATATTTGAGATGCACAGAAATGAATGGATGATGAACAGAGTGAACTTTTTTAATTAGGCCAATGATATTTTGCTTACTTTAGACGCTCCCTATGACCAACAACAAGTAAAAGCTCTTTTATTCGACTAAGAGCCATGTAACCATGCTTTGGTTACTTAAAAAAACCTAAAATCAGCTGTCATAATGACAGCTCTGTAGTGCCACCAGTTCACCACATTGACACAGAGTGCATTGTGCTTACAAAGTAAGCCTTCATAGATTAAAATATGCACTCAATTATCTTTTTAATTTAAATTTTAAATATTTATTTATTTAAATATTTTAACTGAGAGAGAACATTTTCATTTTAATTATTATTGTAATTTTTGATATGTTAAAATACTTTTTTTTCCAAATACTTTTCATACTTGATATCAAAATTAATAAAATAAAATAAAAAGGCACAAATATTACAGTTGTTTTGAGCATAACTGGTATGTTATCTGTTGCTATTTAAGTTACATTTTGTTTGTTTGTATTTTAAAGAGTTTCCTCCTGGTTTGTGAATATTGAGTCTTTCGCTAATTATAGATGCAAAATGATACATTTGTATAAAAGTGTGCTCCCCTCACCACTAGTCAATTTCCTTCCTCCTTTACTTTGCAAAGGTGAGATGCTGTTTTTGTTCTTCCATCACTCCTTAAAGTGAAACATAAATACAGTTTAAGCCAGAGTGCATTTTATCACACTGTCATGAGGCAACCGAACCTTTGATTAAATGTTTACGGAGGCTGGAGGTGTGTCCACAATCAACATTTTTTTTTAACCTGATTTCAACTGTTTTTTCTTTTCTGATAGACATTACTGATTTCCCATGAGCCCTCTGCACTGATTGGTTTTGGTTTTGAAAATGCCACCGATAAAAAATATTTATGCGTGAGGCTCAATGTGCTGTTGATTCCTTTTGTTTAACTGCAGCCCACAAAAATTTAAGACAACCCAATAAAGTGAGCTGAATTGTCGCCCAGTGGTGGCGATTAAGTTCACTATGAACTTTTTAGTGTCCCTTTTCTCTTGTTGCTCAGCTATATCGTACTCTGCCTCCTGCCCAGTGCATGCTGGCACTGGTAACGGGGTAAGTTGGGATAGAAAGTTAAGTGCTTTTTTAAATGTCTTAAAAGTTTTACTCACAACATAAAATAGCAAAAACAACCACTAAATGTTTTCCTGAGGAAGAGGAGGAACATCACCTCATCTTTTTCTTTCTGCCACTAGGCTGTGCTGTGCTTCTGCAGTGCACCATATGATTACTGCAAGCCACCTGACTGCACTGTAAACACACACACACACACTCACACTCAAAATCAGTTTTATCAGTTTTTTCACCAGAGGAGCTGCAGTAGCAGCGGCTAACTCACCTCCTCCTGTGTGTGTTTATTTCAAGTGTTTTAGCTGGTGGGGAGAGGGGCATCCGGCAGCAACAGGGACTGACTGTGGACATCAGAGAGAAGCAGGAACAATCTTACCTTCCTCTGTCCAGTCACCAGTGCCTCCCTCTTCATCCTCCTTTCTTTGCCCAACTGCTCTGCTTTCAGTCTCTGACATCCACATTCCCTTCTGTGTCTCCCAGCATTGCCCTCGTGTTCTCTCCCGGCTTCTGCCACAGGTACTTTCTCCTTCATAGATCCAGCTGCGATGTTACGTCTCGCTGGCAGGCAAATTTTCATCCTTCAGGCTTTTGAAATCACAGTCACATCTCATGAAAAAAGCAAAATCAAAAAGAGATCAACCTGACAGGAAGACTGAATAACTGAATACGTTTGACAGTAGAAAATGAAAACAGGTTTTTGTGTGCAAATGTTCATCGTGGACAAACTAGAAAGATGCAAATATATATAACTACCCACACTTAAACAGATTCTGTGTCAGTCCCACACTTGCACATACTTGGTAGGACTCCACATCCAAAGGTTGCTTGGCTGACCATCTAGTCAGCCTCTTGTTCTGCGTCGGCTCCACCTCAGCTCCAGTGAGGGTGTTTTTGCTTCCTTGTCTCTTTACCTTTGCTGATGTTGAGCAGTGGGTTATTCTCTGTGTACCATGCTGTAAGATTATTGATTTCCTCTAGATATAAATCCTCTCTTCCTCTCATCAGTGTTTATAATCTCACCAGAACGGTTGCGCTCTCTGCAGAGCTCACAATAGAGTTCTCTCTGGGTCTCTGAATGCAATCGTGGGAGAACAGTGTGAACAGGATGAGGCTGAACACTCAAACCTGGAGGTTTGTGGTGTGACGCTCCTGTCTGAGGAAGTCCAACATCTAGTGTCAGATTGTGGCGCTAAAGGCCAAAGTGCTGAGTTGAAATCAACAAACAACATACAGATATTTGTGCCTTGATTTTCAAGGCGAAGTGGGAGGAAGTGGAGATCTGATCCTTTGATGGTTCAGCCTGACTGAAATGTTATCTTTAATGTACTGGGCCAGACATTTAAAACCATTATCTTCTGCTCATCTCATCTCGTCGGGTTGCTGTAACAGCAGTTTAAACAGCGTATTCCAGATGTCCTTCTCCCCAGCATGGGTTTGCAGTAACTCTTAGGGGGTCCCAACAATATAATCTCTCCAGTGGGTTCCAGATCTTCTTCTGGTCTTCAAAGTGCCCAACAAAACCTCCAAATGGAAGTGCGCTGGAGGCATCCTGATCAGATACTGAACCGTCTCACTTGGCTCCTTTTAACACAAAAGAAGTAACAGCTGAGCTCTCTGTGGATGTTTGAGCTCCTCATCTGTAAGGCTGAGCCCTGCCATCCTACAGACAAAACTCATTTCACTTGATTGTATTCAAAATATATTACACATTACTTGTTACTTTTCTTAAAAGTTGTGCATTACGTTGCTTAAAAATTTACCTGAGAAAGTAAATTGTTACACTAATTATTGCATTATTTTGATGTTACTCCATAACATGACCTGAAACACACCATCACATAGTTACTAGGTAACAATATAACCATTATGCTACATACTGCTCACCGACACAAACCAGTGTCGTATTGAGGGCACACATACGACTTTTCTTTAGTGTTTACATGTGTACTATGTCTCTACCTGTTAAAGTTCAGGCTCTGGCTGCTGGGCTGGGGTCAGCATGCACTCAGGTTTAACATCATTCCCAAGTCATAAACTGCTTCACCATTTTCCTCCCCCTACCAGGCAGAAAAAGACGTGTTTTTTTGTCCTATCCTCCCATCGTGCAGATAACTAATAAACTCTTGTTATACAAGTAATAATAATTGTAACTATAGTGTGATTACAGATTTTTATATTTGCATTTAGATTATTACGTCACTAAGAATGGTGATTGCAGTAACGTGTTACTTTGGAGCATGTGACACACAAATGTTTGTGACATTAACTGGTCATACCCAGATGTCATGACCATGTGAGATGGTTGGAGTGAAAAACTGCTTGTTGGATGTTACGAATAATTCAAGAAATCCCTCTCTGTCCACCTGTCTTTTCTTCTTGTAGCTTAGCAACAGTTCATTCGATGCACTGTGTGTTGCTGGTGTAACGGAGCGGAAAGGCTGTTTTTATTTCACGTTGTTTTTGTGTTTTGAAAAGGAAGGAGACCTTCCTAAAAACGGGCGGAGCAGTGGAGCCGCCAAGGGAAACACACAATTTAAACTGTAAGATTAAAAATATAATTTATTAAGTTTAAATAGTTAAAAATATAAAATGAATTAAAACAACCTTGGCCAAGGGAAGACACAATAAACACACAACATTAAAAGTCCAGTGGAATCCACCACGGCCTAAAAGTCACAGAAAACTAAAAGGTCCAGCGTAGAAAAAACAGGAAACCCAGCTGAGTCCTCGCCTTCCTCCCCGCATCCCACGTCTTGGTGCACTGAAGAAAGGGAGGGAGCGGCAGTCACTATTCCTTTGGCAGTTTTTACTTTATAAAAAGGATAAGTCACAGACTTACCCGGGTGGGCAGAGCTCTCAACTCCGCCGCCGCTTCCTCAAACTGCAATCGGCACCGCGGTCTCACTGCTTCCGTTCTCTCCGCGGTGCACGAACTGGCGCTTGTCGCTCTTGTCACCTGACTGCCGCTACGCGTCTCTAGTCGCTGGTCATCTGCCTTTTCTCCGCTGATCGCTTCCCCTTTCCAGTCGCTGGTCGTCTCCCCCCTAATCGTCTCGCTTCCTCTCCTTTAAACACCAGCTCCAACCCTCTTATCTGTCATTCAGCACTCTGTAAATTACTTTCCTTTCCTCACAGGTGTGTCCAATTAGTAAAAACAGGGGAAAGGGCGGAGTCTCTCCAGGACAATTTGCCGGCAACTAAAACATGCAACTAAATAAAACACTGCACAAAAATATAACAATGCATGCAATATAAAAATAAATATGTACACTTCGCATTAAAATAGCACAGCAAAACAACGTCCGTCCTTCCCTGGATGACATCCCCCCACACTAAAATATTAGCAGTCCCTGCTAATGCTCTCTCTATAACGGTCTGGTGGGATCCCACGCGTGGTCCTAATGGACCGTCTAAGGGAGATACCTGAATCACTCTGGTGAGGTGACACACATTCAGTAAGGGGTAAAAACCCATAAAACACTGGCGCTGGGTAATCCGAAGGGCCGGTGGTCGGCTCCTCCGTAGGAGGGGTAAAATCTGTTTGAGGAGCAAGGCACACTTTTAAGGCATTCCTATGTAAAGTTTGTATATTACCCCCCTTTTCTGGTTTGACCTTATACACTAAGCCCGTATCTCCCACCTGTTCCAACACCCATACGGCTCAGGAGACCACCAGGGACACAGTTTTCCTTTGCCCTGTCTGTTTCGATCCCGTACCCAGACTCTCTCCCCGGGCAACAATGGGAAGGTACAGCCCCTTTTTCATACTGACTTTTGTGTTGGGAGGCCGCACGATGCATCTTCTGTCCCGCCAAGCGGTAAGCTAGGGAGAGTTTCTGTTGATGAGAACACACCCACTCACTTACACCCTGCCTCATCTGCTGTGGCGCCACGCCTAAGGCCACGTCCACAGGAAGTCGCAAGTGTCGCCCAAACATCAAATAGGCAGGCGCATAGCCTGTGGAACTATGGACAGTATTGTTGTAAGCATGAACAAGTTCCGGCAAATTTCCTACCCACTGGCTCTGCCTAACCGATTCTAGTGAGCGGAGCATGTTCAGTAGGGTCTGATTGAACCGTTCTACACTACCATTCCCCGCAGGGTGGTAAGGTGTCGTGCGGCTTTTAGTTATACCATAGGTATCACAGAGTTGTTTCATTAATGCAGATTCAAAATTAGACCCACGGTCGGAATGGAGTCGGCCTGGGCAACCAAACGGCTGTATCACATACTTCCATAAAGCCTTTACTGTAGTCTCTGCTGTTTGGTTTATCGTAGGGATAGCCCAAGCGAACCGCGTAAACAGATCAGTCACCACAAGTATGTTTTGATAAGTGTCAGTTGGTCGGCCTAAGGACAAAAAATCCATGCCTACAATCTCCAGAGGATACGAGACTGAAATAGGGTGCAGTGGGGCCCTAGGTTCTACTCTCTCCTTTTGTAGACTACAGGGGACACAACCCAGATGAAACTGACGTACCTGCGCTTCCATGCTAACCCAATAGAACCGCTGCCGTATCCGGGAGAGGGTTCGATCTACCCCTGCATGGGCAGCAGCCTCATGGACCTTCCGCCACACCTCATGGCACCTGGAACTAGGACACACCACTTGATAACAAGTCTCCTGGGTATATTCATCCAACACCCTACGGCACAGTACTCCGTCTTTAAGAAGAAGTCTTTTTCGCTGCTGCAGGAGTCGCCGCACACCATGTGACAATGCCTGACGTTCTGACTTTGTGGGTGAACCGGCTTCCAGAAGTTGTTTTACCACTTGAATATCCGGATCGTGAACTTGTGCTTCTGCCCAGTCACTCCCCTCTACCTCACAGGTCAATTCAATGGCTGCTGAAGTGACTCCACGCTCTGATCCAGCCCCCTCCGGTGCTCTGCTGGGACAGTGGGGAATCGAGAAAGGGCATCAGCATTAATATTGCTCTTACCCGAACGATACTTGATCTCATAGTCAAAGAGGCCAGCTGGGCAACCCAACGTTGTTCCACTGCACCCAAACGGCAGTCTGTAAATGGGCCACAGGATTATTATCAGTATACACAACGAATCGTGCACCAGTCAATAGTCTTTAACTTTTCGGCAACTGCCCACTTAAGGGCTAACAGCTCCAACTTGAAGAACTATAGTTCGCGTCATTCCGTTCCGCGCGGTGTAAACTTCTGCTGGCGTACGCTATTACCCTTTCTTGGCCCTCTTGAACCTGCGCCAGAACGGCTCCCAGCCCACAACCACTGGCATCAGTGTACACAATAAAGGGAAGGAGTAATCTGCGTATGCTAAAACAGGTGCCTGCGTTAAAGCTGCTTTGAGGGCTCAAATGCCGTTGACATCTGGGGACCACTGTACTTTGCGACGGTCTGTTCTCTTGTTCACAGGGACCCCGTCAATAATGCATTTAAAGGGCGTGCGATTTGAGCAAAACCGGACACAAAACGTCTGTAGTAACCAGCCAGGCCCAAAAAGGATCTGACCTGTCTGATGGTATCAGGACCGGCCAATCCATCACCGCAGAAATCTTATCCGGGTCTGGTCTTACACCATACTTATCCACTACATGCCCCAGAAATTTCACCTCTGTTGCAGGAACTCGCACTTGTTCGGCTGTAACTTCAACCCATGACGCCACAGCCTCTGAAACACTTCATCTAGATGCTGTAAATGAGACGAAAGTCAGGTGAATAAATGATAATGTCATCTAAGTACACCAATAAAGACTCGCAATCTGTCCACTCAACAGTGCTGCATCAGGCTGAAATGTAGCGGGTGCATTGCACAGACCAAACGGCATCCGCTCGAACTCAAACAACCCAACTGGGGTCGTAAAAGCAGTCTTTTCTCTGTCCTCGGGTCCATTTGGACCTGCCAGTATCCACTGGCTAAGTCCAGGGTGGAAAACCACTTCGCTCGAGTAAGGCTTGTCAATGTCTCTTCTATTCGTGGCAAGGGAAAGCATCTTATGCGTCACCGCATTCAATTTTCTGTAGTCCACACAGAACCTCCAGGCGCCATCCTTTTTTCTCACCAAAACAATGGGTGCAGCCCATGGGCTACAGCTTTCCCGGATAACTCCCTTTGCCATCATATCTGCCAAGAGACTCCTCATTTCCTTATACATTGCGGGGGGCAAAGGACGATACCTCTCTCTAATGGGAGCTGCATCACCTGTGGGGATACAATGATGCACCAGGTCAGTCCTCCCAAATCTTCGTCATCTTTAGAGAACACCTTCTCCCATTTAAGCAATAAAGCACGTAGCTCGCCCTGTTGCAGTTCAGACAGATCAGGTCTTTCAA